GGGTATGAACTAGAAACCTTGTCATCACTTCTGAGAAGAGTCTTCTTGTTGTAGTGATTCGTGTAAATCTATTTAAAAGTTCAGTGAACAGCTATTCCACGGACAAATCAAGAGAATTTTCTCTGAACTACGTAATCACATTGTAGTGTCTTGTTTACTTCGATCTTTCTGTGTGCACCCTTACCGTCTTTCGGGTCTCAGTTGTCATGTGTTTGTGCTATAGTATCATCTCAGTTATTGACTATTGGTGATTCCCTCTTGCGTCTCTGCTACATTTAAATTCAGGTACCCTAAATGCATCACAAATATTTCACCTACCGCCTCAATACCAGCAGCATGGTACGAGATCTAAAACCGTGACCCCATCTCATTGGTCAGTTTGAGTAGGATAGCAGGAGATCAACAATCTCAAGTTAATATTTTTGTTTCTTCTCTTTGATTTTTTGGGAATGCTTCCATATGAACCATATGTATGGTTTCACCCATTATACAAAAGGTAGTGAACATTTAAAGGGTGTGCAATGGCCGTAGCCCCGAAAACTAAATGTACCAAAAAAGTGAAAGATTCTGTCATTACTCTTACCTTGAGAATAGGACAGATGAAATGGGGAGGGATTCTTTTTTGGCTCTTGGGCAGTGAGCAGGATGAGTTCAAATCTGAGGACAATGAGCACAAGTTGTATTTCATTGGCTCAAGCACAGGCCAGACTTCAGAAATGAGATCTGGCCTATTTGAAGAAATTGTTTGACAGCACCTCATGCCCAGAAAAGCCAACTGTTTTGCTTGCTCAATTGGCCAGTCTCCAGCTGAGAAGTCCAAGACTGTAGATAAGTTTCCACTTTTCAAAGCACAGCAAACATCCCTCACTACACCAGAGGTCAGTCTTCCTGTTAAAAGCTGCAAGACCACAATCCCAAATGCATAAACATCAGATTTTGCAGTTAGCTCACCCGCTGTAATATATTCTGGCTCCACATATATGGAAGCCTCATGGTTATCCAAAGCACAATAAAATGGATTTCCATTCTTGCAAATCAGACGACAGATGCCCAGGTCACTTATCTTGCTAACAAATTGTGCATCGAGGATAATATTAGAAGGCTTCAAGTTCCCATGGATGAGGCAAGGGCTGTTGGAATGCAGAAAGATAAGGGCAGAACACATCTCAAGAGCAATTCTAATTCGATATTGCCATGGAAGGGGGCGAAATCTTGCCTGCAAGCTAAGGTGATCTTCAAGGTTGCCATTTTCAAGGTACTCATATACAACTGATCTAGATTCTGAACAGGAACCAATCAGCGTCACAATGTTTGGATGTCTCACTTTGCTCATTCCTTCTGCCTGTAATTATTAAAAATAGACAAGTCAGTCGTAACTCTTTCTTTCCCTAATATAAAATAGGGTCTACTAATACAGTGATAACAGCTGTAAAGTGTCAGAAGGTGAAGCATCACAAAGATGTCACCAAAGCCTTTGGTAAATCTCTTCACAACACAACATGAGTGTGAGCTGAGTCATTTTGTTTCAATTTTAAATGTTTAATAGGGCTATACCTCATATTCAAATTCTGAATCACTCATTGAACCAAATGAGGGAAGCATCTTTATAGCTACATTTAGACCACGAAAAATCCCCTTGTAAACACTTCCATAATTTCCTTCTCCAATCTTTAACGATGGATCAAAGTTTTCAGTAGCCTTAGTAATATCTGAGAAAGCAATCTCCAAAAACTTTGGGCCCAATGAGTCCACAATGTCTGGCTTTAACAGCTTCTTTAATCCATCCAGTTCCTTATTCACAGTGTCAGATTCTCTCTGCAATGCATTTCGTCTTGCCTTGAAGGTTTTCAAGAGCTCCACTGCTTGAATGATTTTCTCCTCTAATTCCTTCTCAGCACTGGTGGACTGTTTTATCTGATCTACCAGTACTGCCTGCAGCTCGTTCATCTTCTGAAACTGTTCTGATAATCCATAATAAAGAAATTTCAATTTTTCAAGTTCTTGAGACTGCAGAACCAGCATTTCTTCAATTTCTTTTCTTCTCTTTACCTCTACAATGCATACTTTTTCCGAAGCTTCAGCCTGGGATAATTGAAATAAGTTTTATAATCATTTAGTACGAGAGACTTTTAAATAATGTATCCATGTACCTCTATGAAAAATTAAGCAAAACATAAAACTTTGACCGGGGATAAGCCAAGTACAAATATGATCATCTACTGAATACTGATAGAACGTTTTTGGTTATAGTTTCCATATCCCTCTATGAAAAAACTGCAACATGCCCAACTTAAACATTTGTCCCTACTTGTTGTGACCCTACTCTTCTTTATGGTTTGTCTCATGAGTGTTTGAAAATCCTACTGTTTGAATTTTAAAAAGATCACAAAACATTCAATGATGTTGAGAACTGAATAAAATAACAATGACATTTATGATGGAATATTATAATTGAAAGGGAATTCATTACTAACCTAAGGGAAAATTACTAAAGGGAAAATTTAACAAATGAAATCACTTGATGTAAAATAAGTATTATTTCGTAGCATCATAGTGATACTTTTAAGGGGAAAGGAGGGATTGGAGAATTGGAGTGTTAAAAGCAGTACTCCCTCTAATGCCACCCCATTGCGGATTACAAAGGTTGACCGATTTTATCTTCAATTCAATTTATTTGATTGTAGGTGTTAAATTTGAAAATAAAATTTATATATTAAAAAACTAAATGAAATGTTATACGGAGTACAAAACAACAGGTGACAGGACTATTTTATATTATAAAATGAGTAGTGATAAATCATAATAAGTACAAAGTGAATAAAGTTTGACTCCTAGAGTAGTAAATGGTAATTCATTTCCAGACGAAGGTAGTATTATTTTGCATGTTTGACGTTTCTTGGTCAAAGTTCACAACTTTGAGCAAAAATTGAAGGTGTAATATACATTCTCCATTCATATGTAATGGACAATTATGACTTGTGATACATCAAAAATTGAATGAATATGGACATATATCATGTCTACATTCATTCAACTCTAGATTTATCAGAAAAGTAATAATGGTCACTAAAATGTTAATGGAGGGAACAATTTGTTGTAATGTGAATCTGATATCATTAGATAATGTTATCATTAGATAATTTTGAAACATAGTTTTGAAATATCATACTTTTATAAAGTTTTACTTCTCCACTTTCTTTTTCAAGAATGGAATATGTAGCCCTTAAAAACTCTCTTACAAACAAATTCCAATCACGTACTTTTTACTTTTCAACACTTTTTCTTAAATTCCGTGAATTCAAGCCAAAAAAATTTATTGGGGGATGGACAGTGCGGTTATTATCAGGTCAAGATCGTGAAAAATCAACTAGGCAAAATAAATTGGGACGGTGGGAGTACTAAACTAAATTTTAAAATATTCAGAATTCAGGGATAAACTATGTTAACTTTTTGTTAAATGAAACCTCACGTATAGCCTCCATGGCATCATCTTCAGCTCTCAATAGCCGCAATGATTCTTCAAATGATCTTTGTTTGACATTCTCCGCAGCTTCTATAGCATGCTCAAGTTTAGTCCGCACATCAATAGTTTCCCTATTACTTTTGTCTTCCTGCCATTCAAATTATAGTAAATGATATGAGCAGTCTGGTATGATATTTATCCTTAAGCATATTATGAGTAAATCTAATTGTGTTATAGCGTGAAAATTAAGAAGCTAAAATAAACCAATTGTCCATTACATATGGAGCTAAAATAAATTATTGACAATCTTTAAGCTTTGTCATTATTGACAATGTTGTAGCTTTGAGGAAATAATAGACTAAATCAAAACAACAACATTTATATTGCCCCAGTGCCTCAATGGCTCCCGCCCAGTCTGACCCTATGTTTAAAACATAGAACGGCTGTTTCCAGATGACCCATGATGAGCGTCGAAAGTTGCATTGACTAACTGCTACTTCACAATTGCAAGAAGCGCGGACAGTTTAAAGAGCCAATTTGTTTTATTCAATCATACCCCAAAGCCAAAAAATAGTGAATCTCTAGCTCCATAGGGGAATGGAAATAATGGACTAAATCAAAAAAGCACATTAAAGTTCCATCGCTTCTTACTTTCTACAGAGTTTAGGGTAGTGTATGGGCAATGCATCAAGGGTCATAACAGCCTCTCTGTTTTTACTTTTGTAAGACTGTATATCTTAAACCCTCAGCCCCAACGGAGTTGGGATTATATATTTTTAATTGGTTTGTTGTTGTTGTAGATCAAGAACAGTCTTTGGAAGTGAATCTTTACCATTCGAAAAAAAACTATTTTTATCAGATTTCCTCCACTCGTGATATTTAGACTTTAGTCACCTCAACTTGGCAAGGAAGATTTGAAAATGGTGATAATAAACAAATATTTCAATTCTAGTATTGAACCCCTTAAACGTACAAACTAGTGAAGATATTTTGATTTGACAAAATGCATAGAGGAACTACTTGATGAAAAGGTGAAGTTTATTAGCTTAGTACCCAAAACTTAATTTTTTGTAGTCTCTTAAAAGCTGATTGTCTGTGACTCAAACATCAACAGTGGAGCAATAATGCTACCATCTAGAGCTGGTATATGTCCTTACAAGATGAGGGAGGAGGGATGGTGACTGCAATGTATGTTTCTGGCACTGGTCTTCCACATGTAAAGGCGAAATCTTCATCTCAGTCTTGGTCTTCAGGGGTATGTTTGACTTTACTCCGCTCATTCCTTTTACTGATTTAGAAGTTTCTTCCCAATTGTGAGAAGTTTCATCTGAGCCTTCTGAACTATCGTGAACCATGATGGTACCTCCATTTCTTCTTGGAGAGCATAACCCGTCAGAGCTAGGTAGAACAGAGTCAACAGAAACAAATTTTTGAGCCCTGTGTTTGTCAGCAAAAGGAAATACAGAGTATAATAGTGTTAGCCCATCTTGCGAAAGGAGCTTTTTAAGCTGAAAGTAATATACAACAGGTAACCCACAATAACACAACTATACCTTGTATAAATTAAGCATCCGCTGCAAACAAACCAAATATGACAGGAGAGAGGTGCATGTTGGCACACAAATATAGCCTTATTAGACTTGAGCGCCAATAGTTTCCTGCAATCTAAATGAACCTTTCAGTAAAATGGTATTAATGGATCCGTTTTTGGAATGTTGAGTGCAGTAGTGCACTAAACCAAGTAGAACTAAAACACTTGGTACTTGGTAGTGAATAGAGACAGGCCAGAAACATGAATTTAACCCTCTGGGGTAAAGAACACATCAAAAAAATCCAAATAATTTCAAGAGAAATGTAAGTATATACTTTGAGTAGTACTTCACTGCTGCTGCTCCCATGACTAGCCATCTAATATTATATTCACATACTACTTGGACAATTCCTTTCTCAACAACATTCATTTCAAGGCAGACCTTGTCTCCCGGTATCTGAAGATATAACAGCAAAAAAAGGTGTTTATGCATAGAAAGGTACAAAATAAAGCAGTGGCTAATACTTGCACAGCCTATGTGATACTAGCCACTGTGGTCTAGTAATAAGACATCTCTCCTATTTGTACGCTACGCTCTAAAACATGGAAAAAGGTAATCGTTTACGCAGCGATGAAAACCCGTGTGCACTAGCTAGGCATAAAAAGGAAGTCTACACGAAGCTTACTGCCAATGGCGTGAAAAGGCAGAGGCATAGGTGCAAAAGACATGAAAGGCGCAACCAAGGTGTGAAAAGTTAAGTTTTAATCGATAGATCAAAGTTTGTTTAAATTTGGGCTAAATTACAGAAAAGCATTTTTCACTTGAGTGAACTTTGTAATCTAATAGTAAAACAATATACAATTTTGTATTTGTAGTTAATACTTTTAAAAATTGCATACTTATTGAAAAAGTGAAAAAATAATAAATTAATAATCTTAATTGTGGAACATTGAGGTGTAAAGTAGCTAATGCCTAATGTAAGCATACATGAGGTAACTCCCATGATGTCATAGGATAGCCTTTTCAAACACCAGCAACATGTGTAGGACAGGCTCTCCCATGGGCATCCTTAACATTAGATAATCTTGTATATGTTCCTAATAGAGTAATAGTGCATTGGTCATGAATCTTAGGACTCTATTACCTTTGTCCTCTTGATCCAGTTGCGTGTTTGTCTTCTGAATCAACCAGTACCCTTCAAAACCTCCTAGGCCATCCAAGTGTTTTCAAAATTCGTCATATGGTCCAAAGTTGGTCAAAGCCTTCAGGTCCATGAAGTATAAATAATCATGTTATACTCATGCTTGGGGTCCATTTCAAGTCATGTCTACCACAGGGTTTCAGTATTTTATAATATTTGAAGATGATTTTTCAAGAAGTATGTGATTTTTTGTTATGAAAGAATGGTTTGGTCTATTATATTTGTTAATACTTTTGCGCTCAAATTAAAAATCAATTTGCTCGTTTTATCAAAATCTTATGGAATGATAATACCAAAAATTTCTTAGTCCCAGATGATGAAATTATGGCTGTCCATGGAATGCTCCACCAATCATCTTACGCCCAAACACCTCAGTAATATGGTTTTGTTGAGCGTAACAACCGTCATTTAGTGAACAGCGCACGTACACTCTTATCACATCCTCCACTTTCTAAGTTTTGTTTAGCTATACTTGTTGGACCGTGTTCACATTTTTTTTGTGTTGGCTGCCTCTTATGTGCAGGTTGTGCCGCTCCTTTTGCGGTCTTAAACAATCCATGTGTGCATGGTTTGGACGGTTTAGTACAGTTATACGAGGATTTGTCACATACTCACATGCTATTGGTTGCTCGTGTTTGAAGACAGAAGACCATTGGCGAACCATTCGAGAGGGTGACAAGTGGTGGTGATAATGGTAAATGTACGACATTGCTTGTGTTTGAAGACCATTGGCCAACTCCTCGTACATGTTGAAGGTATTGCCAATGGCATAAATAGTCCATCAAACATGCTGTCATCAATGGTGTTCAAGCATTAGGCACAAATGGCAACCTCCTTTACCACCTCCTCTACCAGCAACTCCTCGGACATCATTGGTGTTTCAAACATGTGTGCCTGGTGTTTGAAGACCATTGACCAACTCCTCGTACCACCAACATTTTTAAAATCCTTGTACACGTGCCAACCTCAATGGTCTTCTGGTGTTTCAAACATGTGTGTCTGGTGTTTGAAGACCATTGACCAACTCTCCTCATACCAGCAACATTTTCATAATCCTTGTACACGTGCCAACTTCAATGGTCTTCAAACACCAGCAACATAATGAGCAGCGATGTGCCCCTGGGGCAAACCTCAGTGCCTCAGTGGCAAATGACTGGAGAAATTGCCACGCTGGGCATCCATGGTGTGGGGGGTTCAATTCCCAGTTCTGCTGTGGAATTGGCCCCCTCCTGGGCAAAGATTAGTAGTCAATGTTTTGAGACCCTAATCATCGTCTGAAGCACATCCCGCGATTTACCTCCCCCACCATTCCTGAGGGCACTAATAGGCAATGTCTAGCTACTATCCCTGTTGACCGTTACAGTTCTAGATTTTACCAACATCATACAGGTAACAATTGCATATATGTGATAGTGTATGTTGATGACACTGTCATTACAAATAGTGATGAAGAAACCATTACTTACCTCAAAGGCTCAAACTCTCGAAAAATATTTCTTTAGAAAATTTAAGATTAAGGATTTGAGAAAAACACCTTGTGGCAATCTAACCATAGGCCATATGGGTTTCTCAGTTATGGCGCAAGAAGGCTACGCAATGAGCCATACGCAATAAGGCGGAAGGAGGCGTACACCATTTATGAGAAAAAAAATTAAGATTAGACGTACACCATTTCTGAGAAAAAAAGAATTAAGATTAAGTTTAAATTAGTAATTTAATTAGAAAAATTTAAACGTTTAACTCCTTTTCTTCTTTTATTTGTTTTTATTCATTTATATTTTTTTAGTGATAACACTTTGTTCACATTAATTTACTATTACTTTAGTGCTTTTAATTTTTATTTATGCCATGTTGCCATTAAAACTTGAAAATTTCATGTACATAAATTTTAGTTTTTTCTGTTTAGAAAAACAAATTGCATAAACATCGGACCTAGCATTTGACAATTTAAGTCTATTCCTTACAACCAATTTTTTGTACTATATCATGGTAGACTTTGTTGCCTTTGAAACATTATACTTTAACAATATACTTCTTTCATGTAATCATTCTATTAATAATGTTCTTTCTTTAATTTCAATAATATTTTATGCACATCTTACTATCCTAGTAGTTTAAAATGAGGCTTACGCCTCAATACACCTTGAGACTTATGCAATACGTCTTGAGGAAAAATGCCTCAAAACCGCAATACGCCATTGTCTTGCTTTTGTCTTCTTCGTGGCGGCTACCTTGCAATCTCCGTCGTAGAGGAGTATGGATCTTCAATAGGAGTATGAATTTTGAGCCACTGTACCTGTAGCTTCTACACCATAGAGGACTATGGATATTTGTTCTGAAACTTCATCACTCAATGCTCACTGCAACTTCTATCCTTCTCCATCAAGGATTTGAGCCGCTTAAAGATTGATTTTTGGGATCTTAGATTTAGAATTTGGGGTCTTAGATTTTAGATTTTAAATTTTGGGATTTTAGATTGGGATTTAAGGCTTTAAGCTTCTGTCTATTATTTTGTTGACAGCATAAACAAGCCATGGCCTTGTTGGTGGGTGAAAAAAGAGTAAAGGGCATTTTTGGAGAGTCAAATGACATTTTCATCATGCATAAATCTGTGTGCCTAGTGAAGGCTCACTATATGAAGAAAAAGGTCATAGCAATATTCTGAGATACTGTGATGCTTGTTGGCTGAAACACCTACTCAGAAAATTAAGATATGGAAATAAAGAACTTGTTCAGTTAATATGCGATAATCAAGTAGCAATACACATTGCATCGAATCCAGTATATAACGTGAGAACCAAGCACATTGAACTCAATTGTCACTTAATCTAAGAGAAGATCTCGCAGTCACAAACATCGTTGTTCATTATGTTCGCACTAATAATCAACTTTTAGACATCTTGACAAAATCACTCAGAGGTCCCAGAATAAAATACATTTCTAACCAAGATGGAGCATATCATATATACGCTCCAACTTGAGGAGGAGTAGAATATTGAGTTGTAAAGTAGTTGATGTAAGCATACATGTGGTGATGATTCCCACGGTGTGATTGCAAAGAAAGAAGATTGAAGAATAGGTAAATCCTCTCTTGATTAAATGGAATGAATAATGTCTACGTGAATAAATGGATTGATACAAGAGCTATATATGTAGATGAAAGCAAAGACTAGCTAGATAAAAGGAGAAAAGAAACTGAATGTAACAGCTGTAACCAACTAATTAATAGGATAGAAACTAACTAATATATTCCAACCCCGCCCACGAGGGTGCGAGAACACCCAATGTGGCACGAATCTCATGATGGAGGGCTCCTGGTAGACTTGCTAAATGCTCCGTACGTTAGATAGCTGTTCAGACGTAGGAACATGTGTGAGAGTGATGAGACCTTGAAGCTTTTCACATACGAAATAACAGTCCAACTCTATGTGTTTCGTACATTCATGTTGTCGCCATAGTTTGTAAGGCGGCAAGGCGAGGCGAGGCGCCAATGTACCTTCATATTGCCTAGGCGACTAGGAGCACGCCTAGGCGACGACTAGGCGACATACATACCTATATACATACATATATATATACATATATATATATATACATACATACATACATACATATATATATATATGTATGTATGTATGTATGTATATATATATATATATATATTTGTATATGTATATATAGGTCTTATACATTTTAAGGAAACTTGACAGAGAAGACCGAGAGAGAGATGATAAGTTTAAGTCTGTTAGGCTACACTAAAAGAAAAAGAGTTGCACTAAAAAATGGGTTTTTTCAAAATTTTAAAGGGGCCCAAGGCATCAAGGCGAGGTAAGGCAAGGAAAGGCGACGCCTAGGCGAGCGCCTGGTCACCTTAAGGTTTTCTAGGCGAGGCGAACAGACAAGGCGTCCCAGTGACAGCGCCTTATCGCCTAGGCGACGCCTTACAAACTATGGTTGTCGCCATTTAAAACGAAAGCAAAGAAAGAGAAGATACAAAGAGAATTGAAAAAAAGATGGAGGAGCTATTACTGAATCACAATTAAAAAGGATTACCGTGCTTTGATACCATGCTGATTCCCACGGTAAGATCGCAAAGAAAGAAGAAAAGATAGAAGAATAGCCAAATCCTCTCTTGATTAAATGGAATGAATAGCTTCTACTGGAATGATACAAGAGCTATATATGTAGAGGAAAGCTAAGACTAGCTAGCTTAAAGGAGAAAAGAAACTGAATGTAACAACCGTAAGAAACCAACGAACAGGATAGAAACTAACTAAGTAATCTATTCCAACATGAGGTTGTCTTCATGATGTCATAGGATAGCATAGGATAACCTCTTATTTATACCCTTGTGTTCTTAATAAGTTGATATGATATATACACTGCTATGACCTCGATTATTCACCACAATAATAAAGAAACAAAATGGCTTTCAAGGTTTAGGCTTCACCTATGATTCCAAGGCTAGAGGCTAAGCCTTGCCAAGCCTCGTGCCTTTCAGAAGCATGCTTGCATGATGACCCATGTTTAAATCCCCACAGAAACAAAGTATGCAACAAATCTCAGAAGAACCCTTTCTGGCCCACTAACTCCTGTTCAAAAGAGGAGACATAGACCTTGTCCTAAAAAATATCGTTGTGACTGATGCAATGACCTGAGCTAACATCCTAGATTGCTGAAACTGGTCCATTCTTTGGATATACAACCAATACCTTAAATTTCAAATAGCCTACAAGAAGGTCTAACTGATATAAAAACTACTTTTTGTAGATTATGAGTTTATGGCTCACCAATTACTTGGAATAGCTTTCTGAATTGCTTATAAACAGTTCACTGATTACTTGCCTCTCTAGTCTCTACTTTTAGTAGGGGTAAGGTCTGTGTACACACACCCTCCCCAGACCCTATTGTTGTGGGATTCTCCTGGGTTGTTGTTACTGTTGTTTATAAATAATAAAATAAAAAAAGAAACCAGCACAAGGTGGTCATAATCAATCAATATTCAACATATTTAGAGACATTTTAATAATTAGAACATCTCCATTATACACTATAAAGAATCTATTTATGTTGCAAGTGCACTATATCAGGAAGCAAACATACCCCTGCTTGGCATAGAAAGAGAAGGTACTGATTCATGAGTTTGTTCATCCTCTGTCGTTCGAGTTCCTGGCAAGTCGTCACTACTGCTTGTTTCAGTTTGGTGTCCAAGAGCTTTCCATCCACTGAAAGTTGGCAGAGAGGTATACATTCACGTTCAGTTAAGAATATTTCAAAAATACAATTTGGAGTGAACATATTAACAACGTAATGGTTAGGATCCATACTTTGTGATATACATATGTGCGGGGAAATCATTGTTGGGATGAAAATGAAATCTCTTTAAATGTTTTTCTTTCCCTAGAACATATCTCAGGTTTCTACCACGTCACAAATTCACATCAATCGACACTAAAATGCAGCAGTTAGCAATATTCTTCAAGACAATGAAGACATAATACTCCTTAATCCCAAAAAAAACATATTCTAAAATTTATCAATTATAACTAGCATATTCTAAAATTTATTTGCTCGTTTAACTAAATTTAACATAACTAACTTGTTTTGCAAACTTTTTTTTAATGAAAAAAGTTGGATAATTATGAAACTTTTTTAACTGGCAAATGAGGATGAGAGCAATTATGAGGAATTGAGTGGTTAAGTAAAAATTGAGAGCAATAATGAGGATTCATATATTATGGATGTTATGGAGAAGATGGATCTTACGAGTAGAGAGTAATTGAGTAGGCTGATGAACATGAAGAAGGCAAATTCTCCTCCCAGTCCCAGCAAAGTTGTTCAGAGCCCAAGAAAGTACTGATTTGCCCTCCTTCAAATTCTTCCCCACTGCGACATATATTGTGTTATCAACATCACAGACTCCTTCACCACCCATCCCTAAATCAGTTCTTGAATTAGTCTGAAATGCTTGCTTGCCAACCGTTTTTAAGTTATGATATGGGGGCTTTGTAACATCGTTTTGGCTGTGGAGTGTGGAACCAGAAATGGTCATAAATAGAAAGAAAGAAAGAAAGAAAGAAAAAATTGATGAATCAAATGCTACTACAGTTGGCTGGAAATATAGGTTAAGTAATCACAGTTAGAAAACAAAAAAAGCTTATAACCTTGAAGTCTACTACTACAATGGAGCTTGGAGCACCCAGGTAAATTATGATAAAGTACTGTAGCCCGCAAATGCCTAAAACGGATACTCCCAACTTCTCCAGTTCGCCTTTTAAACTGCGTCGGAAAAGAATGTGTGTATGCACACCTTTATTTCCAAAGTTATTTCCAAAGGGGCCCCGATTCAGTGTAGAAATTTATACTAACTGCTACTTCATTAATTAAAAAAGCGTAAACAATTTAAGATCCATTTTGGTTTATTTCATCTCACTTCAAAGCCAAAAAGAGAGAATTTTTGGCTCCATCGAAGATGATAGAATGGAACGTACCCCAAAGTGTACGCCAAAGTTATGTGCTAACGTGTCGATAGTTTGTACTGACACACTATACTAATGCAATCAAAAAATAATGCACTAGCATTTTGTACCTATGAGAATCATTACTCTAGCATCACATTAACACAAAATAAAGGTACATACCTCCGGTGTACAATTTGAGATGCAACTTTTAAGGTACAAATAACTTAATTCTTAACTCAATCGTCTCTTCTATTGGCAAAAAGTTTTAGTAGGTAATCCTTCGTTATGTTTGTCTGAACTCTAAAGTAGAATTCGAGTATAACCTCATTTGAACTACGGAGGAACGCCTTGGGTGTGCCTTCCCCTTTTCTCCTTCGCTAACTCAATGTCATGTCACCTTCAGCTTTCCCTTCCCATTTTCTTCTCCTTTTTGGGAAATGCAATTCCCTTTTCGCTTTTAATTTTTACTATTATTTTTTAATACTTATTTTAATTTAAATAATTAAACTAAAAACATAAAAACAATAAAAATTTACTTCAAACATTTAAAGTTATACATTTAAATAAAATTAAAACTAATACTAAAAATGATGCATTAACTGATTAAGACACAATAAATATAATGGCATACAATTCATGTTTCGGGATATGATGAGTATAACTAATACCCGACCTAAATCTCCGAAAAGTGACAGGTCAGATTATGATCGGACAAAATTTAGATGGTGCTTGAGAGGATGCAGAAAGTCGTGGAAAACGACCGGTCATATTTCTGCATTGTCACATTTCTGCAGAGTCATTACGGGAGATGATCTAGAAGATAGCTCCTCGGTTGGGTCCGATCTAACTTGGAGGTTCATGTTGATGGGGATAGCGCGAGGCGATGACAGGAGCAGTCTTGCTATCTTACCCCGCCATCTCCGTGACTTAATTGCAGAGTGAGAATCCCGCTCCACTGCGGGATAACTTGATTGGTGGTGGGATTAGTGCCCATTAATGAGTTGGTTAATGAGCAACGGGTCAGAGGACTGGTTCCTTATAGGCGCTAGGCCCGCGCATGAGTAGGGGATTGTTACCTTAAATAACCTCCTCCACCCTATATAAATAGATTGTAAGAGGAGGAGGAGGAGGTACATTCATTCATTCTCACACAAACTTGTACACTCTTGAGATAGAGTAAGGAATATAAGTTTGGGCATAGGAATCCTTTCCTGGGTATATGTCACTCTTGTTATGTTCTTATTTTCTTGTGTGTTTTCCCTACCCGGAAGAGTTTGTTTTGTTAGACAAAACATGCAACTCTAGGAGGGTGAATAGAGTTGTTTTCTAGAATTAGCGTTTTTCACGTGTAAGATAAACATAAAGAAAGAATTGCATGAAATATGTAAAGAGTAAAGGGAAAGAAGAACAACGTGATGTATACTGGTTCACCAACTCGTGGCTAGTCCAATCCTTCGAGAGACTCTCTCAAAGGTCCTACTATACTTCAAACTTCAACAGGTGCTTGAAAAATCGATTACAACTCGAGAACTTGAATCCCACAAGCCTCAACTTCTTACAAACAAGACTTGAATCACACAAGTCTTGGAACTCACAAACTCAAGGGAAATTGAGTTTAACAACACAAGAATGAAGGCTCACACAATTGAGCAAGTAGTGTTTAAATATAAATCTCTAATGGATGACAATATCTTTGCAATCAATTAAAATATGTTTCTAGCTCTCAAAATAGTATTTTGAAGATCAAGAATGGAGCAAGAATGAAATGTATTAGAGGAAGAGAATGGAGTGCTTGAATTGTGAGTGAAATAGAGAAAGATAGATTTTATAGGGTTAAAAAAAATAAATCCGTTGGGGAGTGAATAGAAAAAGCTTTTAACAGATTTAACTTATGGTGATCGATCCACGCTCTGTGATCGATCGCTAGGACAAAAAAAATTTGGAAAAATTCGGGCACAGCTTTGGGTGATCGATCCACACCCCTTGATCGATCCCACGAAGAAACTGTTGGGTACATTATGATTGATCTAAGGAGGGTGGATCGATCCACTAAAGAATTTCTCTGCGCACGGTGATCGATCCATAGAGGTGAATCGATCCTCTGAAGAATAATGTCCAAACATGAAGGACCCAAGGCATATATGCAAGTTGAAGTGCATTTTTGGACTTATGTGTTTGTTTGGGACATTGAAATTACGGGTAAGGCTCCCCAGCTTTTCAAGTTTTTTCAAAATGAATTTTTGAATAAATGAAGGAAATTTTTTGTGTAGAATGAGTCTCAAAAATATTTTGTGTGTCAAACAATGTACACGAAAAAATATTTAAAAATATTTTTCTTAACCATAAAAATTTGTTTATCTAAAAATTTCGATACGCTTCTTTCCTTTCTTGAATTGAAAATAAATTTTCATTCATCGTTGCGTTGTCATTTATCAAAATCTAAAAAAAAATTAGAAAATATCCAAAAAGGGTTTAAACTCATGTCCAACAATTTCCCCTTTTTTCATAATGACAAACCAAAGTTGAGAAAAGCAAAGAGTTTGAATTCAAGAAATACTTCATTTTAAATGAATTTCCCCCTACATAGTTAGAAGTGAGCAAAAATAATAAGGAGTAGATAGTGGAAGTACTTTTGAAAAAGATTTGAAAATTTATTTTCTCAACTACTCATCCTTCCTCTTTTGGCATTATCAAATGATACTTTCCCCCTTAAACGATGCCCGGATATTGAAGAATAGCCCAAAAGCATTTTTCTTGGGAAAAAAATTCCAAAAAATTTGCAAGTTTCCTTTTTTAAAAAAGGAAGTAATTGCTATTTTATAATTAAAGACACAATATGTTCCAAAAAAACAAGATTTCCAAATCAATAAATATTAAACAATTGCATGAGCATCATCAATGACATAATAATAATAGAAGGTTAAAATAATCATAATCCACAAACATCATCCATAGTCAACATGCATAGTCATCATACATAAGCATCAATCATAATCCATACACGCATAATCCATAAGCAACAAAAAAATGAGAATAAGAAAGAAGAGCATCAAAGGGAGTTAGCTGGTCGTGGACCGTGCCTAACTTTAGTCAAAAGTTAATTTTTATTAACTCAAAAAGGTCAAAATTAAACAAATAACAGAAGAAAGCAGTGGTGTCCAATTTGTGTAAAAATAAAACTCTTACATTATGTTTGGCTCAAAATTGTTAATGGGAAAAAAACAAAATAAGATAGTTGGAAAAAAAAATAAAATGGAAGAAATGAAATGAGAAGAGAAAATGAACTAAGTGGAGGAAAAACAAATTTCTCCATTTTGTTGAGAGAAATGAGAGAACAATTTTCTCTTTCTTTCCCTTTCTAATTCGTTGAGCAAACATAGTTTTAGAAAAGTTTCCATAAAAAATGATCAAACGCATGCTTTCGAAAAAACTTTTGAAAAACTAGATCCCCACACGTTCATTATAGGTTTGCCAATCTTGATTTGCAAAACAACTTTCTTCTCGATATCTAAAACAAGATTGGTACTGTATTGGCATTGCACGGCAAGGCTTCTCTGGGTGACCCCTTTTGCAACAAAAAAATAAAAAGTGACCCTGAGCAACAAAGTCCTGCATTTGAGGAATGCTCAATTCCCATTATTTAAGCAGTGCTCTTACTGAAACAGCCTTCTTCGCCTTTCCTTTCTTTACTTTTAGTGAGACATTCCTGCTAATGACTTTCAAAGGCTCTGCTGCCGTGTCTGCCCTCCTCTTAGCTCCCGATAGATGATGGTATGGAAAAGGCTTAGCCTGTAATGAAGTGCAATCGCTGTTTTGTGTCAGTGTTATACATGGAGTACTACATTCAGGGCAAAAGAAACTAAACAAAGTAACTCTCTCATGTAACTTTGAGCTGGAAATACCGATACAATTCCTTCACGTAAAACCCGGCAAAGAAAAATCACAAAAAACAAAAAGCATCAGCAAGAATGCAATGCTATATATGTGAGATAATGAGATCAAAGTCGCGCTTCAGAAATAACAAGCATTCACTGCCCTCCTATGAATGAAAACCTTTCACTATCACAGGTTCTAAACTCAAGCATTAGTAGTTCATCCATTTCTCTCAGATACCAGCCCACCACTACAAAGCCACCATCAGTTCATATCTCAAAAAATTGTTTATGAAGGGTAATGTTGCCTTTTCCTCCCAAGGAATCTGAATCCTGAATAACATGAACTTGAAGATTTAGCAGCACAGCATCATACAAGATAAATGTAGAATGGTGACAAATCGTCTCAAAAATGTTTTTCGTATTCACCTATGTAATACCAAATGAGATTGAATGAGATGATCATATATCCAATTACCCAGAAATGAAGCTATTCAGATCCTACGTGAAAACTAATACATGCATACTTGAAATCTTCTGGTTGTGAAACTATAAGATATAGAAAATTGCATGGGTGCACCCCTCGTAGCAACCATTTGGGGGCACCCTAGCATGACCATAAAATATATCCTCACTTGAAAAAATAGTCAGCAACAAGCCAAGTGAAATACCACAAATTGGAGTTTTGGGGAGGGTAGGGGTACCATATACATAGACCTTAGTCATGTTTCATAACAGAAAGGGTCATTTGTATTTAGAGTTTTTCCACAATTAGCCCACCTCACAAACTAATATTATTAAGGTCTTAAGTAATTATGAACATTTCCACAAGCGGTCCTCTGTTTACCATTCCGTTAATTGACCATTATATTGAATATTACATTCTCTAAGATGGCCTGTGCAGATGGTGTTTATTCCATGTTTAGATATTAAAAAAATATAAATGCAAATAAAAGGTTTAAACTTATTAAAATTGTACTATTGTACAAATATTTTGTTATTATCCTTTTATTCAAACATTTGTGTTATTCTTTTCATCAAAAATAATATACTGTCTAAATAAATTTTGTAAAAAAAATATAAATGCAAATAAAAGATTTAAACTTATTAAAATTGTATAATTGTACAAATATTTTGTTATTATCCTTTTATTCAAACATTTGTATTATTCTTTTCAACAAAAATAATATATACTGTCTAAATAAATTTCGTAACAAAAGTTAACTATTCACATTGCATTACCACATCCAATTTTTTTAAACGGGTGATGAACAAAGCGTCCCCCTAGCGGGGCCCAAGGAAGTGTCCCACCATAAGGATGTATTGTAGGCAAACCTTACCCTGTATTACGTACAACATGTCAACATCCAAATAAAAATTTAAATTCTTACTTTATAAAATAGGACATGATAATAATAGCAATAATATAAAATGTTAGTTAAATTGAAGAGTACATATAAATTAAAATTTGAATTGTTTGACTAGTATCTTACCAATATTTAATAGTTGCATGTAATATAAAAAGAAACTAGAAATCTAGACCAAAATAAACTCAACTTCAAATAGGATTGGTACAAGTAGTCTCAAAGAAGTAAGAAGCTTATAGTCTAGCACAGAGCTAGGGACGGTTACTCAAACGAGAATAGGAACACGTCTAGGAAAACACCACTTTTTTTAAGTTTTACAAAGAATCTGGCTGTGGAGACGTGCCCATGCACCCAAACCGGAACATTTCAGGGACCGGAAGCGGCACTTACTTGAAGAATACGTACAACATAGCTTATAGAATAGAAATGGAAGAAAAATTGTTAACAATTGGCCTTTACCCTTGCTGAAGATAGAATTTCCCCCTTAATGAGAAAGGGTTGTAAGAACATGTAACTTAGAGCACAATAAGGAAAAGGAGTGATATTTAATGCTAATCAGAAGCTTCATCTATCACTTCAATGAAAAAAATAAACAGTTTATTTCTATTCATCCATTTAAAACAAAACCTATAAACATGCAATCTTTAGAGACCAACTCCTATGTTGGTGAATCCACAATTAATTATGAAGAAGAAACATGCAACAGATAGAATTTCCCCCTTAATGAGAAAGGGTTGTAAGAACATGTAACTTAGAGCACAAAAAGGAAAAGGAGTGATATTTAATGCTAATCAGAAGCTTCATCTATCACTTCAATGAAAAAAATAAACAGTTTATTTCTATTCATCAATTTAAAACAAAACCTATAAACATGCAATCTTTAGAGACCAACTCCTATGTTGGTGAATCCACAATTAATTATGAAGAAGAAACATGCATACCCATAATGTCACAAATTGCCAAGCATACCCATAATGTCATGCAAATCTTAGTCACAAACTACACTCCTGGCATTAAAACAAAGAAGCAAAAGTGAACATAAATATGGGAGAGCAACATAGCCATTTTACAATGGCTAATTTTATTGAGTTGCTAAAGGGCCAATAATTTATTAACAGGTTTCGTGAATGGAAACTTAATTGTTTTAAGAATGGAAGAAGCAATCATCAATACCCTCAAGCACACGCATCACGTCATACTAAAAACTAAAACTAGAGCAATAGAATTTCCTAAAAACCTACAATCATGATCTAAGAGTAATTTGAAAAAATAAAATTTCCAGGCATTCCATAAAATGCAATTACTCATACTTTTAACCGAAAAGAGGAAGAGGCTAAATAGGGATTATTAACTAAAAGATTTGGACATCACATCTGTATTGAGATACATTATATTTACAGACCACTAGACTAACTTTATCAGCCTTCCCAAATTGAATATTTAATTTTAAAAAATCACCATCTAGACAGAATTTCACTCGATTAGCAAACGAAAAAATAAACAAGGCACTCCAGAAAAAGCACAGTGACACAATGCATTACATCATTTATATGTATCGAATTCATGAAAAGAGAACACATCCATTAACAAAATATACAAGAGAGAACACTAATCGATGAAATTCAAATGCTAAATTCAATCACACAGTTCATGAATGCTATATTCAAATGTTGACAACCATCATGCTCAAAAACCTAAAGAATCGTATTTACTAACCAGTAATTTGGCATTCTCGCCCCTTTGCAGTGCCCATTCTTCCTCCATCCTGATTTCAGCATTGAGGAACCTTGTTCGAGCAATCTCTTCTGCTATAATTTTCTCTCTGATACTTTCCTTTTCAATCTCTCTTAGGAAAGCCTCGCGCATATCCATTGGGTTTCTGAAGTGCCCCCCTGATGGGAGCCCAACATCTGGGAGTGAATGGCCCACTGAAAAAACCATCACAAAATAAAACATTTCAGCAAAATCAAAATTTTGAAAAACCAACAGCATTTCTTTTTAAATTGCAAAGATTAAAAATGTCAATCATGAAGTTCTTTAGTTTAATGGAAAACTACAATGTATGTCATTTACAGATGAACGGCTCTTGATGTTTTGCTTCCTTTTCTAAGAAAACAAATGCCAATTTCTCACTTCCACTGTCGACAAAATCTCTTTTCTTTGTCAATTCCAAAAAAAAAACAACAAACAAACAACAAAAAAAACATACGCACCTGGAAGGACTTCATTGGCGGAGAACGAGATACTTGGAGACCGATAGTGCTGCGAATGCACGAGAGGCGGCGGATTAATCAACCGATAATTGTATGCCATGATATATCAGTGGAGATTTTGAAGGGTTTCCCAATGCTTGAAAACAGGGTTTGTGCGTTCTCCAAATTCAAAAGGTATCAATGCTCCCTCCTTGCAGTGAAGTGAACGAAAAATAGTGGATGGGGTCGCCTGTGCAACATTTTGAAATTGGGATTTTTTTGAATTCAAAAGATATCAAAGCTCCCTCCTCTCCGCAACATTATTGGGATTTTTTCCAGGAACATGCTACATTTACACAATCTCAAACTTACACCAAAAATATACATCAACATTTTGATAGTCTATACTGATAAAAAGTGTTGGTATGTTAACATAAGTTTACACTAATACAAAGTTTTGGTGCATTTACAAAAATTAAGATTACACCAACACAAAATATTGGTGCACACTTGCAGTGTATAAATGGAGTACAAAATCATTGGGGTACAAGTAGCTTTATCATTTTTTGAATAAGTTTTTGAAAAATGTTATTTGTACATAAAGAATTTGTACCTCATTTTGTACACTGCATGAATGTACCAACATTTTGTATTGGTGCAATGCTAATTTTTGTTAATGCACCAACACTTTGTGTTAGTGTAAATTTTTGTTAACGCACCAATACTTATGTCGGTGTGAACCATCAAAATGTTGGTGCATACCTTTGGTGTACAAATGAGGTAAAAATTTTGGGGTACATATAGCATACTCATAAGTTTTTTGAACACGTGGTTATTGGTACCTACTCCCTTTGTCTAAAACTATTACTAGTATTTCTATTTGACTTTTCACGGTTTTCAATGTTGTATCTTGACTATTAATATGTATACTTATACATAGATATATTTTATAAAAAATTGATATTTCAAAACTATGATTCATTATAAATATGATGATATTAAATTCATATCATAATACAATATATTTTATCTACAAATTAGAGCATCTTTAATGCAAAGCTCTTAAAGAGTTGATTAATTCTAAAAGATGGGTGTGGCCGTGTGGGGCTCATGTGGAGCAGTTACTTCATTTATCAAAGGAGCTGCTTAAGAAGAAATCGTACCTTATCTATGTACTTCTCCTAGGCAACTCCCACTAAAGATGCTCTATGGGTGGTTATGGTTGTGGGATTAAGTCAAGTTTTAAATCCAAAAGGTTAGTTTTACAAAAAGGTTAGTTTTAAGTCTAGTTTATAGATTTTTTTTATGTATTTTTGAAGGTGTAAATTGTAATTTGTAGTTTCTATTTCTAAACCGAGTTGTAAAGATAGTATTTCTTCCGTGCTAAAAAGATTACCATAATTTGATTTTTTTGGTCAAACTGTAAAACATTTCGACTACAAATTGGCAAAAAAATATGTTTAGTTACAATATAAATTTAGTATAATTGAGTTTATTTTAAAATATAATTCGATATTTTAGTTTTTTTATGAAAAACTAATTATTTGAAAATATATCTAATTTGTAGTACAAATATTATATAATTTGATAAAAAATTCAATTTGTAGTTATCTTTTTCAAACCGAGGTAGTAACAAAGAAATTTACAGAAAAATTTACCTAAATATGACTAAAACATAATGACTTTCCCAATATAGGATCATATGTTTTTATTTCCCAATGTAGGATCTTTGATCTTTATTAATTAGTCATTATTTAAGTAAATATCCATCATTACTGGACATTATTCCTCCATCTAGATATTATTAAGTTTTATTTATAGAATAAAAAATTTAAGTTCTACATTAAAAAACAACTTATGTTAAATAAGTATACGGCAAATTTATATATAAATTTCACAAATTTATATACGGCAAATTCTAAACATTATTAAGGTGGATTTCAATAACGAGAAATGGAGGGGCGCAAATATTAGACAAATTTGGTCCAGGTGATACTATCAATAAGAATTCGTCCGGCACAAAACCCCTTCCCATCTCCCCTCTTCACTTTAGTTTTTACTTCTCCCTCCGTTCTTCTCGCAGCGGCTAGGGTTCTTAGACTTCTTACCCGACTTAGATCCAAGAAATTCAAGGTTTGCCACAGTTTTCTGCTTTATACTTTCCAGGATTTCTCTCTCTCCGATATCTGTAACTGATGAAAATTTTTCATTTCTCTACTTCTAAACAACAAATGATGACTGTTTTTCTTCCCAAGACAAACATGAAATTGGGGAGCTTACAAATACATTTCAACATATTCATGGTTGTTGGTAGTGCTTTATGAAATCTTCTTGTAATTTTACCTGTTTATTTGCTACAGATGAATGTAGAAAAGCTTCAAAAGATGGCTGGTTCAGTCAGGACAGGTGGAAAGGGAACCATGAGGAGGTTGGTTCGTTTTTTTAAACATTATTATCGTTTCCTTATGTTCTTATGGTGGTCTATACAATTTCGTTTTTAATTTTGCTCAAGTAACTAAAGATTATTTTAGTTTAGTGATATGTACTCTGTATCAGTTATAAAAGTTACGTAGTGACATTTTGACTGTTTTATGAGCTCCCATTAGCTGTGAGATAAAAAAGATATTTTTATACTTTATTTCGTTTAATTCAACGATTTTAAAGATTAATTTAATCTTACCCTTTATGTTTTAATTTGCTTTTGCACTTCCATTAATGAGGGAAAGAGTCAATTCTTGCCATGTTCTAATGTCTTTTCTTGTTTTGATGGTATTCATGGTTCTATCTTTGATATCCACACTCTTACAAAAAATGAAGGTACATCTTAGAGAAAACAATTATATTTTGATTTTTCTGTAAGGTCAAGTTTGTGCTACTGTTAATCTGTTTTTTCATTATGCTTATATGTACTCTCAGAAAGAAGAAGGCAGTTCACAAGGCAAATACAAATGATGACAAACGGCTTCAGAGCACACTAAAGAGAATTGGTGTGAATGCCATTCCTGCAATTGAGGAGTTAAACATTTTCAAGGAGGATGCAGTAATCCAGTTCCTTAATCCCAAAGGTACTAAGAATGCTGTAAATGAACACTGGGTTTCAGTAACAATTCTCCTTTTGTTCACCAACTACTACTCTTACATGTTTTTTGTGTATCCAGTTCAAGCCTCAATTGCTGCAAATACCTGGGTTGTCAGTGGTTCTCCTCAAACCAAAAGTAAGCTATTTCTATGTATAAGATGATTTATCCTTTTATTTTATTTCCGAGTCACTTGCTAGCATAGTTTGTAAGGCGGCAAAGCGAGGCGAGGTGCCAATGTACCTTCATATCGCCTAGGCAACATACATACCTGCATACATATATATATATATATATATATATATATATATATATATATATATATATATATATATATATATATATATATATATATATATATATATATATATATATATATATAGGTTCTGGTGAGAATGCGATCTTATGAAAAAATAAGAATGAATCTGGTGCTTTAGATTGTAAGATCTAAGGGTCAGGATTGCATCAAAATTAGGTGCACCAAGATGGTTTGAAAATGCATCATTTCGAAATGCACCAAAATCCCTTGAAAATGCACTATCTCAAAATCTGAGTGCAGGATGCAATCTGAGCCGCACGATGCATCAGATCCAAAGGCTAGATTTTATTCTTATTTCTTTCACCAAGGTGCATTCTGACCTGAACCAGCCTCTATATATATATATATATATATATATAGGGGCCGGTTCCCGTGAGAATGCACCTTGTGGAGAGAAATGAGAATAAAATCTAGCCGTCGGATCTGATGCATCGTGCGGCTCAGATTGCATCCTGCGCTCAGATTTTGAGATAGTGCATTTTCGAAGGTTTATGATGCATTTCAACGTGATGCATTTTCGCACCATTTTGGTGCATCTAATTTTGATGAAATCTTGACCTTTAGATCTCACAATCTAAAGCACCAGATTCATTCTCATTTCTCTCCTAAGATTGCATTCTCACCAGAACCAAAATCTATATATATATATATATATATATATATATATATATATATATATAGACACACACACACACACACACATATATACATATCTGTCTTATACATTTTAAGGAAGCTTGATCGAGACAGAGAAAACCGAGAGAGATAGAGAAAATAAGTTTAAGTCTATTAGGCTACACTAAAAGAAAATGGGCTGCACTAAAAAATGGGTTCTTTCAAAATTTTAAAGGGGCCCAAGGCGTTAAGGCGAGTTAAGGCAATGCCTAGGCGAGGTAAGGCGATGATCGCCTTAAGGTTTTCTAGGTGAGGCGAGCACACAAGGCGTCCCAGTGACAGCCCCTTATTGCCTAGGCGACGCCTTACAAACTATGCTTACTAGTGCTGGGGAGTGGTGAATAATAATTGCTCCATGTAATGCGGTTTTAATCAAAAGTATTTGTAATGCCCTCCTATACAATTTTCAAGAATCCCGACTTCAAATCTGGCAATTATTGAAGGCTATATTTACTTCACTTAACTCTTTGAATTGACAACTATTATTTGTGCTTTCTACAGAGTTGCAGGATATTCTTCCTCAAATTATTCACCAATTGGGTATGATCTTTTTTTTATTACATTCACAGTATCTTTGGAGAGTTCTGTATGTGAAGTACTACTTTAATGCTTTGTAAAAATTTCATGTTTCATAGGTCCTGATAACCTGGAACACTTGAAGAAGTTGGCTGAACAGTTCCAGAACCAGGCATCTGGTGCTGCTGCAGGTTCAGCCGATGGTGCTGCTGTGGCACAAGATGATGATGATGATGTCCCCCAACTTGTGCCTGGTGAAACTTTTGAAGCTGCTGCTGAGGATCACAACTAAAACGTTTCTTAAATTTTGTGCCATCTTTGGGTTTTCAAATCTCTCCAAATCTGTGTTATCCTTAGTTGGATGCTCAATCTGATATCTCGTGTCTTGTTAAACATGAGTGCATTTATTAGTGTTTTACACTTTTCCTCTACAGAGTTCTCCCATGTTATACTCACTATTTATTAGACATCACTGTGAAAACCATGCATGACAGTTTGCCATCCAATCACCTCATCGTTCTTCGGAATGGTTCACAGAATCTCTATTTTGACCCGTGTGTAGGCAAAAAGGCTACATGCTCGACATAAAGTTGAGTGGTACAATAACGTGAGAGATCAACAACATATTTATACATAAATATCATGCCTATATAACATATAACACATCATGCTAGGAAATGACATGCTAGGAAATGAATAGTATTTTGGTCTTGTTATCAACCATGTGGAATAATGAATTTAAGCATGTTTTTTTGAAAGGAATGAATTTAAGCATGTTAGCACATAATTATACATTTGATGAAGGATGATTTCACGAGTATGAAACAATAAGAAACGTTATGATGTGCAAGACTATGGTCCCATTCCGTTCAACATATTTTTTTTATTCTTATTAAAATCAGATCAGACCAAATAATATCATATCAGATCGAATCAGACCAGATTAGATCAGATCGAATCAGATTAGATCAAACCAGATCTAATCAAACATGATCAGATCCAATCAGATCAGATCCAACCAAATAATAATAATAATAATAATAATAATAATAATAATAATAATAATATTATTATTATTATTATTATTATTATTATTATTATTATTATTATTATTATTATTATTATTATTATTATTATTCTTAAAAATGAAAAAGAATAAATTTTAAAAACAAGTTAAATAGAAAACTGAGAAAGTAATCTTTAATTATTATACGTCGTAAAAAAATATTTTTAAAATACATTGACAATGTCAATCTAATTCTACTTAAATACATTTTTATTGTTATTTGTAATTTGAGTTTCTAAAGTTTTGATCTTTTATAAGGATGAGATATTTTAGAAAAAACACAATCTTTTCTATATTATGACTATCTAAATTTAATTACTTTTAAATGTATATATAAATTAAATATTTATTCTAATGTACATATGAAGTAATTGTTAAAATATTAAATTAATATTCAAAATTTCACAAAAAATAACCATAATATAAAAATATTATTAAATTATAATATTAATGATTATTCTAATATATGTGATGGATACCCTGGACAGGGGGTATCCGGTCTTTATATAATATTAGTTGGGGTGGTCCAGTCTGTTGGACGTGCCCGTTAGTTGTATGTTGATTATTTATTTAAGGGCGGCCAAGTCTGTTGGGCTGGCCCATTAGTCCGAAACCCTAGCCTTGGTTCCAGCCTTATTTATACTCCTCTTCTTGGAAGAGGAGGGAAGGAGGAAAAAAAGGAGGCTCAATACACAACACTATTCATCATCTCCTTCATCTCTACATACATTTCTCCTTCTTCCCTACCCTTGGGTTCCATAACCCAACAATGGTGCTCTCATTGAGAGATCGAACGCATCAAGCGTGCTCTCAATTTTTTTTAACCAAATTCTTCTTCCAATTAGCAGGCGTGAGATTCACAACCTCCGCTTCAGATTCGATTCAGGCGGGGAGGGACGGAACGGGGTGAGTCTCTGCCCGGTGATCCATGCGGTGAGAGACCTACCTACTCCGTTCAGATTCTTGGCGAATCCGTCGTCCCAAGCTCCCACTGATTGCATATTTAGGCCGGCGTGCAGCTACCCAGTCCCAACCTTCTAACGGCAAAACCAGCAGGCCATTCCCCGGTGGAGCTCCTTCGGGCCGCCGACGATAATGTTCAGACCGGCGACCAACGCCCGCATCAGCAGACCTGTGTGGCCACGAGGTGCAGCGACGCTCTAGGTTCGCCGGACGATGTCATCGATGCCGGAGTACAGGGTTGCTCTCCGCTTCTGGGTGTTGTTCCCAGATCCGGACCAAGGGCTACTGTTGTAACCCTAGCGGCAATCCAACCGGCGATCCTCTCACCTTTAATTCTCCATCTTCAACAGAGCTTCAGATCTGACCTGGACGAAGCTCTCTCTCCCGTCGCCGACGCCCAACAGCGATCCAGCTGTTGCAGCCGCTCTGGAAGCTGACGGCAGTCAACAGCGAGGGTGTCCCTGCGACCCGCGAGTTTCTGATGCAGTCAATGGCGTTGGTTCGAGCAACTAGCCGGGGATCCATGCGATTAGCAGAGGCGAAGTGCAAGTGGAATCAGAGAAGCAAACCAAAAGGATGGAGGTGTGAGAAACGCAACCCGGACGAAGCCCTTCAGACCAACGGCGACGCCCAACGGTCCAGGCTTGACGGCGGTCAAGGGCGAGGCTGCCCTGCAGTCCACAAGTCTCCGTCATGGACTGGCGACCAGCAACACGACCTACAATCCCTGTCACCGATGGGAAGACACCATAAAGAATCCCGGCGCATGCTCCCTCCTTCCGCGGAGGGCATGCTATCCTTTTGCAAGAGACTCCTTCATAAAGCAGTCCACACTGAAGAAAAACTTAGTTCTTTTTTCATTTGTGCTTTTCCTGGATCGAAGTGGAGGAATATCCAAATCCCTTCTACAATTAGAGCCGGCCTTGTAAAGAGAAAGAATCAAAGCTGGGAAAAGAGAGATTCGCGGATCAATCACCTGGTTGACAAAGCGATGCTGCCGGCAAGCTTCGCATTACATCGGGCAATAGCGGTGACGGTCTAGGGTGACACAACGCAGCGGAGAACCTGAAGAATAGCATGATGGTGGTCTGCTCCATGACCCCGATAGGTGCAGCAGTGTCCCGCTCCTTCCGATCCGCGGCCAGTGATGATTTTCTATTGGGAATTGCACGGCCCTGATGGGTGCATAGTTCTGCTCCTTTCGCAGCTCTACTCCGTTCATTGGAAGCAAATGAGAGTGCCGCTGGAGTTCCTGCCCGAAGTGTTGCTGCTCCCCGAAGTGTTGCTGCCGGAGTTTTCTTCCCGAGCAGCCTGCTTGAGTTTTATTCTGCCCGATCTACCCGCTGGGTAGTTAATTCGAGAGAGCAAATCTGCTCACACGGCGATGAGGACCCAAACATCAGAGCATACTTGAGGTAACCATCCCGGTCACCCATCTCCAATCCCGGTCAAACATTGGGGTTGGGAATTTGAGGTCCCAATCAGACCCCAACCATAGAAATCAGACAAAGTCAAAGAAATCAACGGAGAACTCTCGAATTCGAGCTCGGAATTCAACAAACATACTGGTGGAGGTGCAGTTGACAGTCGACGGTAGGGGAGGTTTCTTCGGTGATGGGTTTTGGATGTCACCGGCAACCAGACCCCGTACGGATACTCTATCCGCTGATGCTTGAATAGTACTCTGCGCTCCAACCCATCAAGTCAGGCAAGTGGGGATACTCCTCTTTTTTATCATTACTGTATTAAAAAACAGGAAAGCTAGGGGGCATAGAGGCTATGGCAGTATACTTGAACAAAGTCACGTGAAAAAGCAATTATCATTAATGGAGGTAGATATGATGCTTTTGAAACTACTCCGTATTATTACTCACTGTAAAATGCAAAAGGATGGAGCAAGTGGTGTGTGTGGATGATATTCACGCAAGCCAATGGCGGAACCTCATGTTTGAATTATTGGGGATTCTTCTCTTCTAATTTTATGCATCAACCTGAAGGTTAGCAACTATCGTTCTCCAATTATTATTTTCACGTTAATGCGCTCGGATTTCCTTAAGGAAAAGAGGGCTAGATTCAATGGCCCGTAAGTGGGAGAAAACCATGAAGTGGTACCATTATTGTGCTCATCTAGATACAAAGGAACCAAAATTCAAAGTTTGGACCGGTGACAGGGGAACCATGGTCAATTCATGTTCTATATAGTTTTGTGCATTTTGATTAAAATTTATACAAAGGTAAATAGCTGAGAGGAATCCATTGATTGGGGTCCGCTGTTTGGGGCAACCTCAGTGAGAGATTCCTGATGTTCACCATCACATATTTGGTTTCTTTACCCGAATTCTGAGAAGATTTCCTCATCGCCGTGTTTGGGTTCTCCGCTGCGTTGTGTCACCCTAGACCGTCACCGCTATTGCCCGATGTAATGCGAAGCTTGCCGGCAGCGTCGCTTTGTCAACCAGGTGATTGATCCGCGAATCTCTCTTTTCCCAGCTTTGATTCTTTCTCTTTACAATGCCGGCTCTAATTGTAGAAGGGATTTGGAAATTCCTTCACTTCGATCCAGGAAAAGCACAAATGAAAAAAGAACTAAGTTTTTCTTCAGTGTGGGCTGCTTTATGAAGGAGTCTCCTGCAAAAGGATAGCATGCCCTCCATCCTTTTGGTTTGCTTCTCTGATTCCACTTGCACTTCGCCTCTGCTAATCGCATGGATCCCCGGCTAGTTGCTCGAACCCACGCCATTGACTGCATCAGAAACTCGCGGGTCGCAGTACACCCTCGCTGTTGACTGCCGTCAGCTTCCAGAGCGGCTGCAACAGCTGGATCGCTGTTGGGCATCGGCGACGGGAGAGAGAGCTTCGTCCGGGTCAGATCTGAAGCTCCGTTGAAGATGGAGAATTAAAGGTGAGAGGATCGCCTATTGGGTTGCCGCCAGGGTTACAACAGTAGCCCTTGGTCCGGATCTGGGAACAACACCCAGAAGCGGAGAGCAACCCTGTACTCCGGCATCGATGACATCGTCCGGCGAACCGAGAGCGTCGCTGCACCTCGTGGCCACACAGGTCTGCTGATGCGGGTGTTGGTTTCCGGTCTGAACATTATCGTCGGCGGCCCGAAGGAGCTCCACCAGGGAATGGCCTGCCGGTTTTGCCGTTAGAAGTTTGGGACTGGGTAGCTGCACGCCGGCCTGAATATGCAATCAGTGGGAGCTTGGGACGACGGATTCGCCGAGAATCTGAACGGAGTAGGTAGGTCTCTCACAGCATGGATCGCCGGACAGAGACTCACCCCGTTCTGTCCCTCCCCGCCTGAATCGGATCTGAAGCGGAGGTTGTGAATCTCACGCCTGGTTTTTTTACCAATTGATGAATTGGAAGAAGAATTTGGTTAAAAAATTTTGAGAGCACGCTTGATGCGTTCGATCTCTCAATGAGAGCACCATTGTTGGGTTATGGAACCCAAGAGTAGGGAAGAAGGAGAAATGTATGTATAGATGAAGGAGATGATGAATAGTGTTGTGTATTGAGCCTCCTTTTTTTCCTCCCTCCCTCCTCTTCCAAGAAGAGGAGTATAAATAAGGGTGGAACCAGGGCTAGGGTTTCGGACTAATGGGCCGGCCCAACAGACTGGGCCGCCCTTAAATAAATAATCAACATACAACTAACGGGCCGGTCCAACAGACTGGACCACCCCAACTAATATTATACAAAGACCGGATACCCCCTGTCCAGGGTATATATAATGAGTCCCCCACTTTCTGAGCTGAGAGGAACTCGAGGTGAAGTGGAAGTAGAACGATAATCAAGCACAGAAGATTCGGTCTTGAAGTGCACCGTCTTCCTGGATCTCTAGAATGCACCGCCAAATCGCTGTCCTGAGCACGGTGTAGTAAGGTAAACAATGCCACCAGTCTGAAAATGTAATGCAACCTCGCTGTAAAGAAATTGCATCAATCTGTATCAAGTGTGCTGCCAACTCGCTGTCCACATTTTCATTTCTATAAATTTTGTGTCAAATTGAACTGTGAACGTTTTTTTAGGTTGGATGGAATATTAATTTTTCTATTTCATTTTTCTAATTTCTATATTCTGCAAAAAGAAAACCCCGTAAATAAGAGTAAAACATATGTCATATTCTCATAATAGAAGCTCAAACTTAAACTTCTCTAAATAGGAGTAATTCATTAATAATCCTGTTGGGTTTTGGAACCCGGGGGCCTATATAACTAGGCGGAAAGAGTATCGAACTAAGTCGAGAGTGCACAAAATATGGGGTCAAGTAAATTGAGAGTAATATTGTGCTAGTTAGAATATCATTCAGAACGTCCGTCCCCCTTCCTACCGAAGGGAAGGGGTTTATATGAAGATTACAACTAGGGTTCCAACCGTTGGTCCATAGTCCAACGGTCTGGGCCCACTGAGATTGGGTTGTTCACTGGCGGCGTCCAACCACATCATTAACCCTAGGATTGCTATACAGTATAGGTTACAAGTAGGGTGGCTATAGCAACCCTGCCAGAGGCATGGCAGGGGTTTAATCGTGGGCCCCTTGGTCTTGACTTCAGTCAGCTTCCTTGGCCAGGTCTGGTCTGCCGTTGTCCAGGGCCGAGGCCGAGCGTATGATTTGTCTTCGGAAGTCTATTTGGTGGAAGGCCGGCCAGGGGCAGTCCGAGGATGACCTACCCTGCCGAGGCCGAGCGCGTACCGCTGCCGAGGTGATCCTCCCTGGTCCTTTGGTTTGGTTCCGCCAAGTAGGCCTTAGCGAAGTTGGGCTGGGCCGTCTTCCTGTTGGGCTGGATACCCCCGTTCCCGGGTATCCATCAAATCCAAACAAAAACAGCTACGAAGTCGGTGAATAGGGTGAGTGCGTGTTTCACTAACTTAGTCCAGATCTCGAGAGTGTGACTTCTCAATTATTGCTTGGGTGTCAACTACAATGTAGCCAACGAACACTAAAAGCCCGAAATACAACTACAAAAAGATGACATTGAGCACAAGTTAAAATTGCATCTTCATTATGTTTTTTCTTTTCATTTTTGTATTTGATTGTTTTTCTTTTAATTTTTTTGTTTGATTGTTTTTCTATTAGTGTGTTTAAATTTTACTCTCTATTTCAGCAAAATTTGGTGATGATAAGAAACTTGACGACATTGTATGTTGGCAATCTTGACATTTCACTTTCTTTTTGACATTTATATTGACATGTTTGGCATTACGTAATAACATGTTTGACATTATGCAATGACATGTTTGTTAGTATGCATTATCGTCTTTGGCGTTGTGGCTTTTGTTGGCATTGTATTGAAATCTTTTTCCCTTGGCAGTGACACCATGACACTGTGATGACGATAATGGCAGTCTTGATCCCAACATTGGTAGTAAATTGCGACATTGAGAGCAGCAAATGGGGGTGATGGAGGCGGCATCCGCAACAAATGGGGATGAGAACGGCAGATCGTGGTGGAAACGACGACAATAGTGCCGACCGTGGCAGTGTTAGTGACAGCAACAATGTAGATGGTAGCCGCATTAAATAGCGATGGTAGCAGGAGATTGTGGCGATGAAGTGGCGGTGACGACAATAGCGGCGATGGTGGCAGGGGTGGAGTGTCATGTGCGGCAGGGGCTGTAGCTAATTTAGGATTTTTTTTTTAATTTATAAAATGTATTTAATTTTATATTTGTAATATGAATATAACTTCTATTTTGGTACATGGTCAATGTTTTACTTCTATTTCGCTTCTTAACTCTAAGCCATTAGATTAATTAAGTTAATTACTTCTATTTAGGGAAGTTTATGTTTCAATCTTATTTTGATGATATGCCATATGTTTTACTACTACTTTGGTCGTTCTCCCTTCCGCAAATTCGGAACATTGTTAAGGGACATAGGGAATTTCAATAACAAAAACTCGAGGGGCGCAAATATTAGCTGTTAAAAACAAATGGGGTCCAAGTGATATTATCGGGCAGAATTCGCCCGGCACAAAACCCTTTCCAACTTCCCATTTCACTTCACTTTTTACTCCTCCCTCCGTTCTGCTCTCTGCGGCTAGGGTTCTTACCCAACTTAGATCCAAGAGATTCAAGGTTTCCCACAGTTTTCTGCTTTATACTTTCCATGATTTCGCTCTCTCAGATATCTGTAACTGATGGAAACTTATCATTTCTCTACTTCTATGCAACGAATCAAGACTGTTTATCTTCCTAAGACACACATGAAATTTGGCTGTTTACAAATACATTTTAACATACTCATGGGCTTTCTGTTGGTTATGATTTATGAAAAGTCTTTTTGTAATTCTACCTGTGTATTTGGTACAGATGAATGTAGAAAAGCTTCAAAAAATGGCTGGTTCAGTCAGGACAGGTGGAAAGGGAACCATGAGGAGGTTGGTTCGTTTATTTTTTTATGACATTATTGTTTCCTTGTCTTCCTATGGTGGTCTATACAATGTCCTTTTTAATTTTGCTCTAGTAACTAAAGATTATTTTAGTTTAGTGATATGTTCTCTGTATCAGTTATAAAAGATACGTAGTGATATTTGGACTGTTTTATGAGCTCCCATTAGCTGTGAGTTAAAAAAGATATTTTTATACTTTATTTTGTTTAATTCAACGATTTTAAAGATTAATTTAATCTTACCCTTTATGTTTTAATTTGCTTTTGCACTTCCATTAATGAGGGAAAGGGTCAATTCTTGCCGTGTTCTAATGTCTTTTCATGTTTAGATGGTATTCGTGGTTCTATAATATACACACTCTTACAAAAAATGAAGGTGCATCTTAGAGAAAACAGTTATATTTTGATTTTTCTGTAAGGTCAAGTTTGTGCTACTGTTAAATTGTTACTTCGTTATGCTTATATGTACTCTCAGAAAGAAGAAGGCAGTTCACAAGGCAAATACAAATGATGACAAACGGCTTCAGAGCACACTGAAGAGAATAGGTGTGAATGCCATTCCTGCAATTGAGGAGTTAAACATTTTCAAGGAGGATGCAGTAATCCAGTTCCTTAATCCCAAAGGTACTAAGAATGCTGTAAATGAACACTGGGTTTCAGTAACAATTCTCCTTTTGTTCACCAACTACTACTCTTACATGTTTTTTGTGTATCCAGTTCAAGCCTCAATTGCTGCAAATACCTGGGTTGTCAGTGGTTCTCCTCAGACCAAAAGTAAGCTATTTCTGCGTATAAGCTGATTTATCCTTTTATTTCATTTCCGAGTCACTCACTAGTGCTGGGGAGTGGTGAATATAATTGCTTCATGTAATGCGGTTTTAATGAAAAGTATTTGTAATGCCCTCCTTTACTATTTTCAAGATTCCTGACTTCAAATCTGGCAATTATTGAAGGCTATATTTACTTCACTTAACTCTTTGAATTGACAACTATTATTTGTGCTTTCTACAGAGTTGCAGGATATTCTTCCTCAAATCATTCACCAATTGGGTATGGTCTTTTTTTATTACATTCAGTGTCTTTGGAGAGTTCTGTATGTGAGGTACTGCTTTAATGCTTTGTAAAAATTTCATGTTTCATAGGTCCTGATAACTTGGAACACTTGAAGAAGTTGGCTGAACAGTTCCAGAACCAGGCATCTGGTGCTGCTGCAGGTTCAGCCGATGGTGCTGCTGTGGCACAAGATGATGATGATGATGTCCCCCAACTTGTGCCTGGTGAAACTTTTGAAGCTGCTGCTGAGGATCACAACTAAAACGTTTATTAAATTTTGTGCCATCTTTGGGTTTTCAAATCTTTCCAAATCTGTGTTATCCTTAGTTGGATGCTCAATCTGATGTCTCTTGTGTCTTGTGAAACATGAATGCATTTATTAGTGTTTTACCCTTTTCCTCTACAGAATTCTCCCATGTTATACTCAGTATTTATAAAGGGTGTCTTTGGAGGGTAACTCTACCTCATTTAGGTGGTATAGGTGAGTGCAGGTAAGCCTGCCCTCCCAACAATGATTTCCATCCATTTCAGTGCTTGTTTGTTGTTTCACTTAAAGGTTGGAGATAGTTGCCACAAATCTGACCCACTTTTGAGTGAAACAACAATCAAGTGCTGAAACGATTTGCTTGACCGGAGGGAGAAAAATGTGCATGGATGCACACTACCCACATTTTATGATAAATTTCTTCCTTAGCCAAACAACATTTTATGATTTTTACCCATTGCCTCTATTTATCAATTTTTGCCGCTGTTAGAGAAATTGCATCATCTCTCCTTTAAGCAGTGCCTCTGGCTCTCGGGTTGTGGGAATTTCCATGATTGCATCAATGTTGAATCGAATTGTTCTTGTATGCTGCATTTATGTTTGAAAAGTAACTTTTGATTTTTAAAAGGCTTTGGAGTATTTTTTTTTTCTAGATGCACTTTTTTTTAATTAAATTAAACAAACTTTGAACTTCAATTATTCTCAATTTGTGTTATATTGGTGCAATAAAATAAAATTGTGAAAGTCCATTAGTAGATAAATCTAATGAAAAATTTATATTAATATACATATTTTTTTAATTGAAACTTGAAGTTTATCTTGTTTGATTTGAAAACGTTAAATTTGACAAATCCTATATATATATGTAAAGCAAGGTTTATTTCTTGGAGTGTTGACATGTGGCATGCCACATGTGCATCCACATGTGCATTCATTAATGAGATGGATAATTTCATCCTATATATATATGTAAAGCAAGGTTTATTTCTTGGAGTGTTGACATGTGGCATGCCACATGTGCATTCATTAATGAGATGGATAATTTCATTAGTCCATTTAATTATTTAAAAAAAACTTTTAACACATTTTATTGTATTACATTCAATAAATATTACGGAGTATATTTTAGTATTAAAAATATTACTATAATTATACTTTGTATAAAAAATGTCATTTTTTTACAATTTTATAAACATATATCATCATTGTAAAATATATTTCGTATTATATATTATATATTTTTTAGTATAATGTTTTATTAATGAAAAGTATTTTCATTAGTACTTCATTGAATAATGACCATTAGTTTTCAATATAATTTGTTTTTAAATAAACATACCAATATATATTCCACCAGTTTAAAACATACTTTGTTTACATAATTAAATTATATCTATAAAAAAATTTAACTTTATGAATGTTTAGAAAAATAAAGTTTTAATTTATATTATTTTTAAAAATAATAAATCATTTCTCTTTTACTACTTTTAAAGGAAATATGTATAGATTCTTTAGTGCATTTACATTTATATTTAGATTATATTATTTGAAAAAAAATATATATCTTAGAATTAAATAGAATATTCATCTAACACATATTATGTCACTATTAGAAAACTAAAATAAATAAAATTATAATTATAGAATGTAAAAAATGTAGAATATACACGAGCCCGTGCGAAGCACGGGATTAACACTAGTATATTGTCAATCCAGGGATGGAAAGAACATATCACATTGGGCACTTGCAAGTTGCAATTGTGAAGAATCATAGCTCTCTAGTGGTGGCTTATAAATAGAGTGGAATACTTCCTTTGTCCCCAAAATGATGTTCTCTCTACTATTTTATACTTTTTATAATTTTTGTTTGTATTTGTATTATCATTGAATATTTGATGTAATTCCTAGTTTTGAATTGCATATACTGCCAAAAGTACACGAATGATAGTCAGTTTGACCATTGAACCAAAAGGATCATTATAATCCATACCTTCTATTTTCCGGTTTCCAAGAATAACAAGTCACGCCTGGAATCGTTCAACAAACCATTAGACTTGTGATTGATACATTAGAGCCACTTACACCCCAAATCCTTTTTGTGGCAAGGCAAACAAACTAAGTGCCAGGTTCCATAAATTTCCAATGTTGCAACTTCTTCTACCATCGGCTTGCACCGTGGTGGAGAAACACTTTTGGCCCTATCATCATTGGGTGTGAGAGCAGTGCTGCTGGACTTGGGAACTAACCATAGTCGAGTCCGCAAAGATCTTTATTGAGCTTCAACCTCATCATCAACATATGAGAATTTCGTCGTGATATTTGGAACTTTAGCTGGAACGGAAGCCTAGTAGGAAAAAACATTTTCACAAAATATCACGAGAGATTATAAAAGTTTCAAGACCGTTTCAAGACAGTACACGCAGTACCCTTTCTTCCCTAAAGGATAACCAACAAAAACATTGGGTTGACTACGACATTCAAACTTGTCCTGTTACGATCCTGATTATGAATGAATTGGAAACATAGACATCCAAATACTCATATATGAGACATAACCGACGCACTTCCATACATCAATTTATGCAGTCTTTCCATTTAATAGAGAATAGATGAAGTACGATTTATAAGATATACAGCGGTAAGAATACATTCTCCCCAAAATTCAATGGGTAAGGATTCATGGAAATGAAGAGCACGAGCAACATTCAAAATATGTTGATATTTACGCTCGACTTGCCTGTTTTGTTGAGGTGTAGCCCGAGACAAACACTCGCGCAAGATTCCCTGTTCACAATAATAAGGCTTAAGATATTTGGACTCGGTCTTATTATCACTACGGACCCCTTCTCATTTGGCATCCAATGACGAGCAATCATGGCAAAAAATTGCCAGAAAATTATGGAAACCTCAAACTTCGCAGGCAAAAGAAATACCCAAGTACCACGAGAATTAAAAAAAACAATTGCCTGAAAAAAAATTAAACTCATTCATACTCGGAGCCTGATATGGACCCCACACATCAATATGAATAAGTTGAAACAAATGTGTACATTTATGAATCTCCATCCTAAATTAAATTGCATGCTTACTATGCATTGAGTCAAACTTCATTTACTTTTCTTTCCCTATTTTTGTTAGTCATTTGATAAAATAATATAGTCATGTCCCTAATTTTTAAATATGTAATTCTTATTTTTTTAATTCTACATTATTTTTCATATAAAATGATTTGAAAATAAATTTAATCAAACATCATAAACAGAAACATGAGATTTAAATTGGGTTGGAGGGAGTATTATTTAATAGAAAACTACTTCGAGATTGTTTGACATGTACACAAATATCACTTGGTCCTTTATTCAACTAGTTATTCCTACTATTATGAACTTGGGAAATGTAAGATAAAACTCTCGCAGAGGGGTGGGCCAAGACGCCGATCGATGCCCCAGATCAAAGGCACATTCCTTGACCGTAGACAAAACACTCCCAATGTGAAATAGTTAAAAGTAATAAAAACCTTCAAATTGTCTACCCGAACATACCACCAAACATTCTTGTCGAATTTTATCATCCAATTAGTTCTTTTAACAATTGTGATTGTAAAAAAATAATAAAGAATGCTTTATAGATTGAATGAAATAAGAGAAGAATACAAAGTATGTATTTATAGGTGGAAGAATATATTCTAAAATCCTCCACTTACTAATTTATATAAGGTAATATTATATAATAATAACTCTAACTATAATAGGTAACAACCATGAATATAATACATAATATTAAATATATTAAATAATTGATATATTTAACAGGGATGCGGAAATCAAATCACAACTCAAATCCGGCACAAAGAGTACATAATGCAAAATCACTGATTCATTAAGCTTTACATTGCCCGCGGTAGTAGCCGCAACCCGTTTTCCATCTTTGAGTCAAATCCAACAACCCGGTATGACATGAAAATCAAATAAATAACTCAAATCACCATTCATGATTCGTCGCTCTAGCATCAATAGTCCATCGTTTAGGCTATGGGGTATGGGGGATCGGGGGAGTCTGGGTCACCCACCTGGCAGCCGACCCCGACGGGAACACTGCCCCCGATCGGTGTTCAGGGTCAGAAGCGTGCAGACGCCGCTGACCGCCCAACCGATTTCTCTGTTTTTCCTTTTTTCGCTTTTGACCGTTGGAGCTAAAAGAAATTAAAAGATTTTTCTAAAAATGACCGTTAGGTTAAAAAAAAAAAATCTACTCTGTTTAAACACACCTCTTCTATCCAAACTTTCATCAAACTCTCCATACTCAATATTTATACTTTTATTTCTTTCTTCCTTTCTTTACAACTCTCTTTTTTTAACGCATTTTATTTAATTTATTATTTAAGTTTATATTTTTTTATTAAGTGTCCAATTATTATTTAATGTTTTAGTTTATTTAATTATCTAAATTAAAATAATAAATTCTTTTCACTATTCACAACTGTATGGGGTATTGGTGCAATAAACTCTTTCGATAAACATGCAATAAACATGCAAATGGTGACTTTGAATGCATTAGTGACTTTAAATGCATGCTTGCCTTGCCTTTTTAGCCTTCAGTACTTTTGAAGCTCAGTGCTTAGAAAACGGAGCAGGTACCAGACTTACAAACTAAAAGGGAACAAAATAAAAGGATGATGAAAAGAAGATAAGAGAAATTCTTGAATGACAGAACACTAAAAAGATCAAACTGCCACAGTATTCACTCTGAAAGAGTTCATGACTTCATGGATGCCACTCTCCACTTCAGAGAATACGTTTTCGGGACATTGTATTCTCAGTTCATATAGCCTGTTGTTTCCCACTCCAAACACCGAGAGGTATCGCCGATCCCATTCGAGGGAAGCCACGCGATCCTGTGGCATGATCGCCAATTCATTGTTGTTTGCATATGACTTCAAATTTACCTGCTTGTGCCATTGTGAAAGACTAAATTAATTAAATTGATGTAATGATTCTTATTTGCTTCAGATTAACTTGGAAATGCATAGGAACTTTGGAAATACAGTGGCTTCTACTATAGACACGTATATGAAATCACACATAAATTTCAATACTTTTACCCAAAACCAAACATCATTAACTTCATAACCTATTCTAGTTGCAACAATCATACTCAAGAATTAGATTCTCTCTTGTGATGATACTTGTTCTAACAATAGCGAACAATCTTTTTGCTCTTGTTAAGTGCTGATATAAAATATCTTAGAAGTTTCCTTCAAGTTTCTGTTTTCCAGTTTCTGTTTTCTACTTTTCCATTCACAGTTTTTTCCCCTTATCTCAATTAGACCGCATGCCTACACACAAAGATTCAATGTTACACTTGTATTGTCGAGACTACTTGTGGTGGTGGTTGATAGGTTTGTGGTAAAATTGTAAGACGTAGAGGTTATTATTATTCGTTATTTGCAATATCGATGTTTATTATAAGTAACAACAGCATTAATAGCACCTATGGTCACCAACAATGGCGGTGGGAAGTATCACTGATTGTGGTTAAGATTACCATCAGCTGAGGACGTAGGTAGTCGTGGTTGTGATTGATTCTAAAACTGAAAATCGATTTGTCTATTTTGGTGTAACATAATCATCCTCTTTGTTTTTACGGGGTTAAGGGTGAATACAAATTGACCTGCAGACCCTAACAGAGTTGGAATTAGACTGGGTTTTGTTTGTTGCCCTCTGGTCAGAAAAAACAACAATGTGTTTTTTAATTTTCTGAAAAAAAATAAAATTGACCTTTCCAGAAGCTTTTACTAAACGGTGCTCAAATTCTTAGGTAAACTTTAATTAGTCCAGTGTAATTGCATTTAATTTGTAACTCTCTTCAATAGAAATATTACCTCAACTTGATAGTACAGCCTCCCATCATCTGCCATTCTTGAAGTAGTGGAAAGAATGCGAGATTCACGCCTGACACCAAGCCTAGTGGACATGAACTCCCTCAGACACTGCTGAAGTGCTCTCTTTCCGGCTTCTTCAGGTGGACCCAAATCTTCAACACTTTGGTACCTGGAGGAGGAAGGAGAGGATATCTCCACAGAGAGATTCGCATCAAGCACAAAAGGGTCTCTGAAGAATATTTCAGCACCAGCACCTCTTACTTGAATCCAATTCTGAGGATACTTGAATGAATAGCCATCAAAGGTATCAATGTACTCCCTAAACCCATAAGATTTAGCAATCACGGTGCCAAGTGAATTTGATAGCATGAATCTCGAAAAGATCAAGGCAATTGCCACTCTCCTTTGAACTGCAAAATGTTTACTCTGGGTGCGTATGAGAAAATTCCTAGTGAGAACACAGCCATATAAACATATACAAGTGATTCTTCACTTAAATAAAGTTTAAAAAACACAGGCACACCCATGGAAACTGGAAAGAAAGACATATAGAAAGGAATAAGAATTTGGATCCTTTATTATACTGTAAAGGGAGGTAATTATAGGGTACCAAAAGGTATCTCCAGCTGTCCCCAAATCCCTAAAAACCTAGCTGCTGCGACTGATCCTAACACGCGCCTCATGGTCAAACCGTGTCAGGCCGCCTATCTGGCTCACGGGTCGCCTCATGGGCTCGGTCCAATCAATTGGGGTTTTTATCAAGAATCTGGATACATATATTGGACTCATTACATGAAGAATAATTACCTCGGCCCTATATATTCATCAATATGCATGTATGTTGAATTTGGATTTTGTTGAACCTATTTTAGCCCCATTAGATAGTTAAATGGATTCTGAAATCATATTGCCTGATTGGTGTGATGCTTGTAAATTTCATACATAGTTATTTAAGGCGTGATGCACAGCAATGCACAAAGGACCTCTAGTGCCTCGATGCGCGATGCGCAAATAATGCGCACGCATCACGAACATGAGGCGCATATTAAGGCACTCCTAGAATTTCTAGTGTGTGTGTATATATACACACACACACACACTGACACACACAATTTTGAAAAGCATAATAAAGGTTAAGAAACAAATGTTTAAAAAACAGAATAACATAAAAAACAGAGAACAATATGTTTATTTGGTTAAAAATTCTTATAACTTGTGCTTTTTGTAATCAAAATCTAACATTAATTTAATAGAAGGACTTAGAAATGGAATTCACCCATCTACATGTACGACCCTTGAAGTACTAAAACTACAATTGTGAGATTGCAACATATTTATAATCGTGGCTTGTTTATAAAAGTTGCAGAAATGAACACTGGAGCATGCTCCAACCTTCTAAGCCTAAACATTCTTATACCAATCGATTTCATAATAAGCTCTCACATTAATCATCTATAGATATTTCAGATTCAAGGGTTACAACAATTGCAAAGTACATACCTAAGCTAGATTTCTATTTCATAAACTGCAAATTGAAAAGTCAAACTTTGACGTTCAAGAAAACAGAGGTAGGAACATACCAAATCAAGTTCAGAGTCTTCAGCTCTTTGTAGAGCTTCATTCTTTGAAACAATGCCAACCTACATCAGAAAAGAATAGAAAATCAAAATTGACTGGAACTTTAAATGTCCACTTGGAAAATTATATACTCCCTCCATCCGGATTTAACTATTGGCCATTTAAACAATCTCAATTGTAAGGTGTAAAATATCAAATAAGCTCTTTAAATGAATTTGTCATTTATTGATGCCATTAATGCTATATGTGTGTGTGTGTGTGTATCTGTGTGTGTGTAAAGGTGGACATTCAATTTCTTCGAACGCTCAAAGGCAGGAAAATGTACGATTAAATCCAGGCAAAGAGAGCACATAATTATATAATACGGAGTATACCATACTCATTCTCTAAGGAACAAACCATATTTTGTTCTTGGTCAATAAGCCTGACTTTGTTTGACCTACAGAAAGCCATCACAAGAACCATAAATATGGTCAGCTCCAATCGATTTCAGTACACACATAAGCAAAATATAATATGATAAACAAATATTCAAATCAAGTAAAAAAAATAATTTATTCAGTGATAAACAGAATCTAATACAGTGATCACGAGAACACAGAAATATGTGTGATTTTTTCGCATCCATCTTTCTCTTGTTGCAAAGTGAAAGAAAAGGATATTAGCAAAGTGAAATAAAAGATATTATACGGTGTAGGATATAAGACACTATTAAATAACACCTAATAAGAGATAAGTCTAGGGCTTCGTCATCATCAGAGCTGCCTCCACGACGGTCAAAATGCTGGGCAGAGATAGAGGCGGAGGTGAAGGAAGATGTGGACAGAGAGAATGTTGGAGAGTGAAGGTAGATGGTCAAGCGGGTGGGGTGAAGATAAGGAAGGAAGTTGGGGTTCGATCTAGAAAGAATGGGATTGAATGTCAAGGCGCTGGCGAGACCAGCCATGGCAGAGAAATGCAAAACCTTTTTCTGGTATGTGATTCAAGAACAATTCCAATGGAGATGCCCATTTATTCTATCTTTTCTTTTATTGTATTAATTTTACTAGAATATTGGAGCCTGGGTACTCTATATTTTGAAAAACTAACTGCGGGCTACCTCATATTTTTAAAATATACTCCAAGGTGCCTTCTATTTTTAGAAACTAACTATCGAGTACCTCGCATTTTTAAAATATACTCCGGGATACATTAACTTATCCAAAAGGGACATTCTGTTTCATTCGAAATATGGGGTACCCAGAAGCAATTATACCCTCACTTGTTATTTTAAAGTTATAGTACTCCGTAACTTTTATTAATTTGTATATTTTCGTTGATTATTTGATATAACAATATATTCTTGTAACAATTTATTTCATAAAATTTTTATATAATTTTTTAATATGTATGCTTTTTTTATTATAAACCTATTTTTAAATAAAACAAATTAAAAAACACTTAAAGTTTTAATTCGTATTGTATAAAGTGATGATAATTATGGGACAGAGAAATTAAGCCGCATGGTGGGCATCTGGTCGGGACCCAGTACACTGCCATACTGACAGGGTAGGGAGGTGGGTGGGAGGGGGGTGGGGTGGGGGTTTAGGGAGAGGGTTAGGGGGGTGTGCGAAACATTTATCAAGTACTCCCTCCGTCCCTAAATAAAGTTCCTCTTTCGTTTTTTTTTGTCCCTAAATAAACTTCTCTTTTCCCTTAAAAAACCCCTTTTGTCCCTTACTTTTTCATACCCTACCTATCACATCATACCTTTTTACTAATAATTTACCTATCACATCTTACTTTTACATATCACATCAAGGATATTTTTGGAAAGTCAACACAAAAATATCTCTCCCTTAAATCCTCAAAAAGTCAAAAATGGAACTTTATTTAGGGACGGAGGGAGTATTTATTTTGATATTATAAAATATTTTTGGTAAGCAAAAATATTTTATTCAAATATTTTTATTCAAATATTTTATGTGTACATCGTTTGACGCACAAAATATTTTTGGTACTCTTTTTCTACACCGAATATTCTTCTCATAATTCAAAATTGTTTTTGAATTATACTTATTTGATTATGGCTTCTCCCCCGATTCCTTTGTCCCAAACAAGGCCTTAATGCCAAAATGTCCTTCCAAGTCGCCACATGCTTGTGTTCTTCATGTTTGGGCATTATTGTGGCAATAATCGATTATTACCTCTGGAATTAATCGATTATCTCGTCCAGAAGAAACTAATCGATTAAGACCTTTGGCTTTAATCGATTATCACTTTTCTGCATAGAAGGAATTTTGCTCTCGCGAAATTAATCGATTTTTTTCACTTGCATTAATCAATTATGATGGTGCACTAATCAATTTTTCACTTGTATTAATCGATTTTTTCACCATTCTCTCTCTCCTCAGCACCTTCGATTCGCACCATCGCATTACCGCCGCTGCCATGTTGCCATTATTGGCAACCCTCTGCTGCCATCGCCGTTGCCCCTTTTCGCCATCGCTCCCTCCCCTCGTTGCCCTGCCTTTTCCATTTGCATATATCTTTGTGTTTATTAGATCTTTACTTAGATTTGTTGAGTGTTGTATGCATCGTTTGTGTATATTTTGGCTATAATTTTAATTAGCAAATATATTTTTGTCCCCCTAAAAAAGACTTATTTTTTTATTTTCTGATAATTGATGTTTATATCAATTTAATAAAGCTTTCAAAGTACAATTATATGATTCATGTCCAATTATCCTTTGACACTATAAATTGCCATATATGACATTACATATGGACATCTATGACATCATATATTGTCATTGGTGATATTATGCGGTACAATGTTTGACACTGTTTTTTGGCACTCTATTTGGCAGTTAACCTGGCATTGTGATGTCAACTAGGAAAATTCTAGTGGTGATATTGGTGAAAGTGGTAAAGATCAGAGATATCGGCCGAGACGGTGAAAAATCAACTATGGCAGCCCACTCCTTGTTCGACCTAGCACTAGTACAAAGGCAGCCCAATCTCAAAAGCTTTTTCTCTGTGCAGACCAACACCGGCTTCTATCACCAACTAGTGTCGGCGTCCATCATTATATTGGCCGTATCTCCGAACTAGGCCCCCTTGACTTCGTGAATTAGCGACAAATAAAGGTGGCTCTAGGAGACTCATTGTGCAGACGAGGAGAAAGCAACACTGACCCGCGACGAGTTGTGCGTCAACTTTTTTTTACATTTGTTTTTAGTGAAAAAAGGAAAAAGAAAAAGAAAATTAAAGGGGAATAAGGCCCCGATCCGTTCAACTTATTTTTTTCTTATTCTTATTAAAATCAGATCAGATCAGATCGAATTAGATCAGATCAGATCGAATCAGATCAGATCCAATCAGATTAGATCAGATCAGATCCAATAAGGACTTATCAAAATCAGATCCCATCAAGAAATATTATGATTATTATCATCATCATCATCATCATCATCATCATTATTATTATTATTGTTGTTGTTGTTCTTAAAAATGAAAAAGAATAAACTTTAGAAATAGGTTAAATAGAAAATTGAGAAAATAATCCTTAATTATTAGACGTCGGAAAAATTAGTTTTAAAATACATTGACAATGTCAATATAATTCTACTTTTAAAATATATTTTTATTGCTACTTGTAATTTGAGTTTCTAAACTTTTGATCTTTTATAAGGATGAGATATTTTAATAAAAATACTATCTCTTCTATATATTGATTATCTAAATTTAATTACTTTTTAATGTATATCTAAATTAACTATTTTTATTTTATTAAAAAATAATCATTAAATAAAAAATATTGATTATATTATAACATGAATTATCATTATAATTTTCAAACGTTATTATAAAGTCAAATTAAATTATTGATTTAAAATTTTAAATTAAATCATAATTAATCAGATCACATCAGATCCAATCAGATCAGATCAAATCAGATCAGATCAGATCAGACCAGATCAGAACTTATTAGAATCAGATAAGATCAGAAAAAATAAGTTGAACGAAACGGAGCCTAAGTATGTAGCAAACAGGAGAGAGTGCTTGATTAGGAAAAAAAGCAATGCACGTATAAGATCACGAGAAAGGAGATAAGGAGATGATTAGATTAATTAAGTCAAATACTTCTATTTAGAGGATTTTATGTTTGAACTCCTATTTTGAAGACATGATATATGTTTTACTCCTAACTTGGTCCTTTTTCCATATATATTTGGAGGTAGCCCGGAGTATATTTTAAAAATGTTAGTCATCCCACAGTTAGTTTCTCAAAATAGACCTCAGCGTATATTTTAAAAATATAAAGTACCCAACAATTAGTTTTTAAAATAAAGGGTACCCGGGTGGAGTTTTATTTTAGAGCACTCGGTATACTCCTCACGCCCACTGGCGTTACGGGGCGTTTAACGCCCTGGGGGCGTGAAACACCGCCCCCGCCGGCGTTAAAGGGGCGTGAGGAGCCCTGCGTCATTCGTTTGACGCGGCGTGATTCTTCTCGGGCTCCCTCCTAACGGCTTTTTTAGCCGTTGCAGCCCATTTTTTTTTAAAAAAAAATTTTTCCTATAAATTCAACCCTCCCCAACCAATCTCTCACACCTTCTCTTCAATTTCATCTTCTTTTTTATTTTTAAATTTCAAAATTCAAACCCCCCCTCCCAATTTTCAACATGAATTCTTCCGGCTCCAGCTTCTTTCCCGACGGCGAAGAAGAAGGATGGCTCCTACCGAACCCGGGACCAACTCACTTCCAAATGGAGCCACATCAACAAAAAAGTCCGAAAGTTTATGGGAGTTTACGAGGAATGCTCCCGGTCCCGGAGGAGCGGCACGAACGACGCCGATGTTCTCCGGGTTGCCACGACCCGGTATCAAGACGACGGGAACCAAGGCAAGGTGCCCATCGATCTTTGGACGATTTTGAGTCGTTCCCCGAAGTGGCAACAACTCAATAATCCCGACGGCGGATCGTTCCGGAAAAGATCCACCGTCGACGACGAGGTTGAGGTCGACGAGACCATCGGTTCTACCGATCAAATCCCTTCCTTCAACGTTGCGGATTCCGATGACGAAGACCCCATTCCACGGCCGATCGGAAGAAAGAAGGCAAAATCCATTGCCTCTAGTTCGGGAGGGTCCGCCTCTATTTCCGCTTCTCCCCGAGACGAAATCGGCCGGGCAATGGTTGAACAACTTCGGGCGTTCAATCTCCAGGAACATGAGAGGTTGAAGCTAAAGGAGAAGGAGTTGAAGATAAAGGAGCAGGAGGCCGAGATGAAAGTCATGCAAACCGACCCCGGGACGTTGTCGGAGTTTGGACGAATTATCTACGAGCAAAGAATGAGAGAGATCAAGGAGAAATATAATATACCTTAGTTTTTTTATTAATGTATCTTTTTTTAAATTATTGTCGCTTTTTTTATTTAATTAATGTATTTTTTATTATTCGTATTTCAATTTAATTAAATAATAAATTAATTTAAATTTATTAATTTAAATTTAGAAGATGTATATTTAAAAATGTAAAAAATGAAGGTTTGAAGCCCCAGTTTGAAGCCCCGGGGCTTCAAACCCATTTCCAGTGAATTTTGGGTGTAAGTTAAAGCTGACGTGACAGAGAGAGAAAGTTTGAAGCCCCTGTTTGAAGCCCCGAGGCTTCAAACTTATTACAATAATGGTACGTTTGGGAACATGGATTTGGATTTCAAATCCGGATTTGACTTAAATTCCATGTTTGGGAAATCTAAGCATTTTGAATTTGGATTTGAGTCAAATTCTTTACATTCAAAACAATGCTTAATTTGAAATCCATGCACCTCCCCTTGTCATTTGAAATTCAAGATTTCAAATTTTGGAATTGAAATGCATGAATTAAAATGAAATGCTAATTGCCAAACACTACCTTAAAGAAAAGATAGAATAAATGGGCATCTCCACTAGAATTGTTCTTGAATCACATACCAGAAAAAGGTTTTGCATTTCTCTGCCATGGCTGGTCTCGCCAGCGCCTTGACATTCAATCCCATTCTTTCTAGATCGAACCCCAACTTCCTTCCTTATCTTCACCCCACCCGCTTGACCATCTACCTTCACTCTCCAACATTCTCTCTGTCCACATCTTCCTTCACCTCCGCCTCTATCTCCGCCCAGCATTTTGACCGTCGTGGA